AGGGACGGAGATGGGACGGGTGTAGCAGGGAGGAGTGGAGACTCTCCAAAAATATGCGACGACCCTGTAGGCTCTGCAACATTAAAAAAAATCAAACACAAATTACAGATGTGTTTAGGGCCTGTTTGGATCCATTAGCTGCTAATAGTTAGCTAGCTAATAGGTCACGGTTATTATTAGCTGCTATTAGCTACTTTGGTTCAACTAGTGAAATAGCTGTTAGTTGAGTATTTAGCTAACAATTAGCTAAACTATTAGCTAGATCTATTTGGATCCAAGGAACTAATTATTAGCAGCTAACTACTATCTCCTTGATCCAAACAGCGTCTTAGATATGAAGCATTGTATCCCCAGTCCAACACACATCCCATCTGGTATGACTAGCTAAATTAGGCAGAATATATATCAACAAAATCCATTTCCAGTTAAACGAAATCCTTAACATGGAAAAAAGAAATGGTGAACAATCCCAAAAGTCACTTGAACTAGAGCCAAAGCTACCGAAGCAGCATTAACTGGCACGCGCCTAAGGCAGCCGGAGTGAAATCAGCCGAGCAAAACCCAAGGGAAGCCCCCATCCCATCCCCGCCGCGAAAAAGCCCTAACGGAGCCAGCCAGTCCCAGACCCAGGAAGAACAAGTACTTTCCACATCCGCCGGTCAGCGGACTATCCCAACGAAAAAAAAAATCTTGGAACAAGGGCAGCGTAATCCAAACCTGCAGGTGTGTGCTGCGCATCTCTGACCTAAAAACCCGATCTTCTCACACAATCTCGAGCTGTATCAGATGTTCCTACCGATTAGCTCCCGCGGACTCGTGGGGCCTAGTCTAGCCTAGTGATACAAACGAGGAGGATCGAAGATGGAGTACCAATACTAACCAGGCAGCGGCGGAGGCCCCAGGTGGCGTCTCGGTTCCTCTTGCGGTCCTGAGTGGGGAGGATCCGGGGAGCCTGTGGCGCGCGCAGCAGCGGGGTGGGGGAGGGGGAGGAGGAGGAGGAGGAGGCCAGTCGGCTCGCCGGCGGGGCGGCGGCTGCTGCGAGCGGTGCGTCGAGGCCAAGCACGGCACGGGGCAGCGGAGCGGTGGCGGCAAGGCAGTGGTGGCCGGTGGGGTGGAGTCGGGCTTGACAGATGCCGTGATGGGCCTGCGAATGGGATTTCCACCGCAACCGGCCCAGATCCAGGCGGCCTATAAGCTATGGGCATTGGTCAAGGCCCGCCACGTTCGTCCTCGCTGCTCGTGTCACACGGGCACAGAGTTGGCATCCTCCTCGTGCTCGCTGTTCCAAGACACCAGGAACAGGATACAGGAACAACCAAAGAGGTCCGTCCATTTCTGCCGAGTGGCCGCATCCATCCATCATCAGCGTACGACACCGGCCACTGCCCAGAGAAGAAAACTCCTCTACCAGACCGGGGGAGCACGGCGTCAATTGCTTGCTGTCGATGATGACGACGACGAGGGTTGGTTCTTGGTTAGCGGGAGGTGGACGAAGACGGGTGGCGGCCGCCAAGTAGCCCACGAACCGCTGGCCTCCATTACTTTTAGGCCACCTTCGTTTGAAGGGGAACGACTCCAGAAATTATTCTCGGTACCTGACCGGAATGATTCCAGGCCACCAAACCCAGGAACCGAACATGCCCTTAATCTAATGCTAGTACTAATCACGAGGAAATCGCCGTCACGAGCAGACGAGCTGAGGAAAACGAGTTCGGCAACGAAAGCGACGAGTTTCTGCATCACAAACCTCTTCTTTCTGGTTCTCTGTGTGCTACACCCATCACATGTTCGTGCCGTGGAGTGGAGTCTGGACTATGGAGACAAAAAAAACACCGTGATGCAGTATGCCCGTGATACTGGAGCACAGTGCAGTAGTAGCAGACTAATACCAGCAGCTATTCCATGATATAGGCCTCCGTTTTGATTGTAAATTTTTACAATCTGGACACTGTAGCATGTTTCGTTTGTATTTGACAAACTTTGTCTGATTATAGACTAACTAGGTTTAAAAGATTCGTCTCGTGATTTACAACCAAACTGTGTAATTAGTTATTATTTTTACTTACATTTAATGCTCCATGCATGCGTCCAAAAATTGATGTGACGGAGAGAGAGTGAAAAAACTTGGAATTTTAAGTCCATCTAAGGCCTTGTTTAGATCACCTCCAAATTTCAAGTTTTTTCACTCTCTCTCCATCACATCAATTTTTGGACATATGTATAGAGCATTAAATGTAGATAAAAAAATAACTAATTACACAGTTTAGTTGTAAATCACGAGACAGATCTTTTGAGTCTAATTAATCTATGATCAGACAAAATTTATCAAATACAAACAAAACGTGCTACAGTATTCAAAAATTTACAATCTAAACCAGCCCTAAACAAGGCCACAGTTGCTGTCAGCAGCCTAGCTGGGCAGCTAGAGCTAGCGGCACCGTCAAAGCTATTATACCGTTCCCACCTCCCTTCCTCTCCGCTCGGGTCACACGTGAGTTGGACCGGTAGGGCGGCGGGCGGCAGGTCACGCCTCACGCAGCGCGCAGTCTAGCGCGTTGGGTCGTCGTCGTGCTCTGCTCACGCACCCACACGTGTACCTCGAGCAGCCATGGCTCGTCGCAACGTGACAAGGCGAGCTCCGCTCCCGTCAAGCCACGCACGAGGACTAGAGGAGGCACTCTAGCTAGCTAGCTCTACCAGCTGGCTCACCAGTGAGAGAAAGTGTGAAGCAATGCAATGCAATGGGAGGTACCGGACCTTCGCGCGGGGGCCCACCGGAGGGTCGATGAGTGAGGTGATGAACTGATGACAGTGACAGGCTGAAAGGGCAGTTCGTCTCTTCCGCTGGCCGCCGGCTGCCGGCTGTTCGCTCCTCCTCTGAAAAAAACAAACCTTTTTCTGGGGTCCTCCACTCCTCTCCCTCAATTTCGCTAAACCCTTCCTGTTCCTGTTCCTCCTCGCGAATGGGTACAGTGGTAACAAAGTACTCCCTCCGTAAAAAAAAAAACGCAAATTGATGGAGTACTACTAAGATTCCTCAATCAAGTCAAGCCTCTTCCTTCCTCGTCATCTTTGACGAATCCAAGCGCTAGGATCTCGCTTGCTTGCTCTCGGATCCGAAGGCGGCTCTGTTTCCTCCGCCCGATCCTCCGTTCAGTCCAACCAAGCCTTAGCTGTCCGTCCCTGCTGGCTGCTGCCCTCTTCTCCTTCACTCGTACTGTGTTTAGTTCGCATCGGATGTTTCAGAAATGTCGGAAGAGGTTTTCAGATACTAATAAAAAAACTAATTACATAGCTCGTCTGGAAACTGCGAGATGAATTTATTAAGCATAATTAATTCATCATTAGCACATGTTAGTTACTGTAGCATTTATGTCTAATCATGGGCTAATTAGTCTTAAAACATTCGTCTCGCGATTTTCAACTAAACTGTATAATTAGTTTTTTAATATATATTTAATACTCTATACATGTACTACAAGATTCGATGTGATAATTTATGATAAAAATTTTTACGAACTAAACCAGGCCTCGCTCCTTGCGGAAACTGCCACGCACGACCTCGCCATCTCCTGAAGCTCGAACGCTCGTTTACTTTTCGAGCCTTGTTCGAGGTTGGTGCGGTGCCGGTGGTGGTGACGCCGCCGCTTTGATTAACAACAAGCCACCACACCTGCTGTTTCTTCTCGGGCCGCTTTGATTAAGAACAAGGCTATAATTTAGGCTGTTGTTGGCTAATTGCAGGTGCCACCTCACATATAATAAGTAATATAATCTATTTATATAATAGGTTAATTAAGAGGTCAGCTATATCAATATACAGGCAATTAACATTTTAAAGTTAGGACCCAATACATGAGAACAAACCGACCACTCTAGCCAGCTCTTAGCCAGCATCCAACTGTAAGGCATATTTTTTCTCTCGTATTCTATGTTTCAGCTGACGAGAAGGTAAACGTCCGCTTAACCATCTCTCTCCTAACGTGCCAACTTTTCTGATGACGTGGAGCTCATCTCGCCGGCTCCACGTTATTATACCTGCTCGTCTCCTTTTCTTTCTCGGTGATCGTCTTTTCCCGAGATTGCATTTCGGCACCCGGACCTCGTTTAGATGGTAAGTTTTTCACTTTCTTTTTATCACATTAAATTTTTAGATACATGCATAGAGTATTAAATATAGATAAAAAAATAATTAATTATATAATTTAATTGTAAATTACAAGACAAATCTTTTGAACTAGTTAAGCTATAATTAAATAATAATTATTAAATACAAACCAAAATACTACGGTGCCGAAACTGACCTCAGTCTAAACCAGGCCCCGGCACCGCACTTTGGCTCCGTCTCCGAGGCCGGCCGGGCAGGCGGCAGGCGGCAGATGCAATACCAGCAGCAGAAGCTACGTCTGGTTTAGATTGTAAATTTTTGTAATCTATACATTATAGCATGTTTTGTTTATATTTGACAAACTTTATTTGATTATAGACTAACTATGCTTAAAAGATTCGTCTCGTGATTTACAACCAAACTGTGCAATTAGTTATTTTTTTATCTATATTTAATACTTTATACAAGCGTCCAAAAATTAGTGTGATAAAGAGAGAGTGAAAAAACTTGAAATTTGGAGGGATCTAAACAAGGTGGCGTGTGAACAAGAAATTCCTCGGGTTCCACGCGGCCCCTCTCCTCTCTTTCGCGTTTTGGCCCCCTCCTTTTCTTCCTTTTCCGCTGGTTTTCTGGTGGGGGTTTTTGCGCTGGTTCGGGTTGGGTTTAGGACGGCACGGCACCAGCTGATTTCCCTTCCCCACCCCGCTCCCCCTTGCGCTTCCACCCGTGATCTCCGAAGATCAGGGATTCCTTCCCGATTTGGTCCGCCCAGCTGGAAAACGGAAATCTCTGATGGGTTTTGGAAGGAAAGTCGCGATTTTTGGGTGAGGTTTTCCGTTTCCTTCCGTTGCTGGATCGACTGACTCACTGATCGATCGGCGGACGAGCCGCCATGGCGTCGTCGTGCATCCCGGGCGGCGGCATCCGGCTGCCGGACCTGGAGATGGTCAGGGCCTCGCCGCCGCCGGCGCCGCCCAGGCCGGCGCACTCCGCGGCGTCCTCCACGCTCTCGGAGGCGTCCAACGCGTCCGCGGCCTCCTCCTCGGCCACCTCGTCGTCGGTGGCGGCGTCGCTGTCGCTCAACCGCCCGCGCACGCCGCGGAAGCGGCCCAGCCAGACGTACAACGAAGCAGCGGCGCTGCTCGCGTCCATGTACCCCTCCGTCTTCCCGGTCGCCAGGGGCAAGGGGGCCACCGACGCGGCGGCGCCGCCCCGCCTCCTCGGCCTCGCCTCCGCGCTCGCCGACGACCCGTCCTATTCCGACCTCCTCCCGCCGTTCCCCGTCCCCGGCGGCGAGGCCGCCTTCCTCCTCCGCGACCTGCCGCCGCCGCCTCTGACGCCGCGGAGCCCCGCGGCCGCCGCTGCCAGGGGCTGCCCGTCGCCTGCGGCCGTCAGCAGCGTCTTCAACGAGTTCCGCGACCCGGCGCCGTCCCCTGCGACCCCTGACGATGCTGCGGCGGCGCCTGACGAGCCCGGGGAGCTCGACTTCGACGATGACGACGGATTCGACGCCGACTCTATCCTGTGCGGCGTCGACGAGGGCGCGGCCGAGGGCATCGATGGCATCATGGGTAAGCTCTCCATGGAAAACAACGGGAAGTCCGTGTCAAGCTCAAGCGTCAACTCCAACCTGCCCAGATGCAAGATGATGCACCCTTACCTCAGGAACCTTATGGTGCTCGGGCTCAGCTTCCGGCACGATCAGAGTGTCATCAATCAAGCGCTGAAGCGGCATAGCGTCGATCCTGAATGGTGGATGTGCCCTGCCATACCTGTGAAAGACATTTCGCCGGCACCACCGCCTTCAGTGGCAATGTCTAAAGTGACAGACAAGAAGAAGACTAAGAAGAAGTCGCTGGGGACAATATACGAGGAGGGGAGTCCTGAGTCTGCCAATGGCGACACTGGAGCTTTGGCACTGCCAGAGACAGGATACACTGGAGCTTTAGCACTGCCAGAGACAGGATTGGGGCTGAGCTTGAACACTGACGGGGTGCTCAAGGCGTGGCGTGGCAGAGGCTCTGTGTTCGCTGATGGCAATGGGCCTGACTTGCCATTGTCCTCTGCTCATGTGGTAGTAAGTATCTCCAGCTTATCTAGATATAAAAGGTTTTCCATTTCCAGTTAAAACTTAAAATGGCTAGAGTTCTTAGAACCCTAAATTATACTTGTTATTAGTTTATATCGTCTGATAAAGAGAATTTGTTTCATTTCAGTAGAGGCACAGATCATCTGTTGTTGTTTTATATCAGCAGGTGATTAGAAAATCTGGCCTGCATTACTTCATTTCATTCCCTTACATTTCTTATCAGTGGCAAGTTTCTTCCAGAAGAAAATTTGTGTCTGAAATTTGCTGATATGACAAAGTACAATGTGCCGGGATTTTTACCTCCGCCAATACTTGACTTTACTGGTTTAATGGGCCAGGCAGAAGGAAATTCCAAATGGCCATTTTCTTTGAGTTGAATCATTGTAAGAAACTTAGCCAAAGGACTCTAGCCCAGGTGGTTAGAGCTTTCCAGCGGCACCCCCTAGGTCCTGAGTTCGACTCCCCGTGGGAGCGAATTTCAAGCTGGGGGTAACACCCCCCTCCCCCCGTCGAGTTATACACGTAACCACTGCGGTGTCTTCAGAGATATGCACGTGGCCCACGTGTCCTGGGCACCCTGTGGCGTGTCCGAGCAGCCGGCCTTCGGGGGGTTTTCTCGACTGGGCCAGGAAGAGAATTTCTTCTAACGCTAATGTCGTGGGTGTGGCTTTACCCCCACCAGCCAAGTTTTTTTTATTATAAGAAAATTAGCCCTCGTTATATCTTATTCGCAGTTTCGGAGTTCAATTGAAGTAGACGAAAATCTCTTAGTTTGGTCTTATTTGCTTTGGAAAAAAATTCAAACCATGGTAATTCACAGGTCCACTACTTCATTCGAGGCCTCATATAGTAGTACCTTCAACCAGTGATCTGAAATTGTGAAGTAAATGCTTATTTGCATATTTCTGATTCTCAAGCAAGTATGCAGAAACAGAAAACTGAATAAAGGATGATTAAAACAATAATGATCAGGAAAAGGAAAAACCGAAGTGAAGAAGCCGGTATCGTTTCTTTAGCATCAAAACCTAAGAAACACGCCTTATAATCCCTGCTGAAAAAATGCTCATTCAACAACTAACTTTCAAATTTTTATGCATTATTTGTGGAAGTTTCCTTATTTAAGTAAACTTATCTGAGTGACTCAGCTTTCCTTACAGTTGCCAGATATCCTAACCATTTTAATGAGCCATAGATAGCTGGTACCACTTTTGCATCAAAAGACATGTAGGTACCCTAAGGCATGTATGCATGCTAAGTTCCATTGTTGGTAGAGTGGTTGGGCTCAAATTGGTGGTACAAAAAGCTAGCGCAATGAACTCTAGCCAACCTGGCCTTTCTGCATTTAAATAGCAAAAATATTGGAGTGCTTTTGGAAAGAAAACCATTAGTTAGGCTTGGTTGACTCTCCTCATGTAGACATATTAATGATCAATTGCTCTGCATTTTCCTAAAACTGTCTCATTGTACTGCAAATGGTATATGGCTCCAGCCTACCCCAACTTGCTGTTGTACATTGTAATGAACCTAGTTTTCTTCCATGTAAAATTATTAATGTTAACAATGTGCATTACATCAACATGCTGAGAGACCACTTACAATGCAACCCTGCTAGCATTCCATTTATCCCTTATGTTCACTTTTACCTGAAGAAACATGCTTCTTACTGGCAAGTGGAAATTTTCATCATGAGGTTAAACATGAAGACAGTGATCTCTTCCCAAAGAATGGTACCAGCGCTGTTATCAGGGAAGGCAACATTCTAAAGATGCAGCGCAAGCAGAAGCCGTGCACTCCCCTTCCCTCTAATAAGCAGAGTCGGTACTACCGGCCTCGGGTCAAGGTAAGCACCAGAACCGACTCTTGAAGTGATGTTTTCTGCAGCAGCAAAACCAGTATATATCTCATCTTTTGCACAGTCTCTGAAGGTGGAGTTTTTGCGCTTTCACAGGGGAGGTTTGTCAGCAAGGCTTATTTTCTCCAGCAACAGCAAGCATTAGAGAAAGAGAGCTAAGGAAGATGGATCTTGCTCCAAGGAACATTTCTGGGGCTTCACTCTTGCTCTCTAGGAGAAGCAGCAGAGCTTCTCAATTTTCATTTCTGCAGCGTTATAGCGCGGCAGATGTAGAGATGCCTGTAGAGTGGCATGTAAGTTGTAATCATGGGGATCTGATGGTAGTTTCCTTGCAACTTCTCCAGCTCCAGATGCTGATGTAAAGAAGGCCATGAAGTGATATCCCAACCAGTTAATGGAACCGTGTTATCACTCTGTTTCTGCAATTCTGTTCTTAGTTTGCCGGGCTTCTTTTTTTTTTCTCCAGAGCTGTCATGTGAGTGAAGTCTGGGATGAGCAATAAGAACTGCAGCAGTACCAGAGAACTGAGAATAGTTGACCAGTATGTTTTGGTTGGTCTAATGATCCAAGTTGTGGTGGGGTTGGTGAGTGAGAAAGCACATGGCAACAAACCAGAGGCCTGTTATTTTTCCGTTTCCGACACGATTCTCATTAAGCCAACGGAAATACACGAGTTCGAAACAGAACAAAGAGAAAGAAAGAAACAGCTACAGGGTCCTGTTCAAACGCAAGACTGTCTCGGAGCCCAGCCTCAACCACCAAGAGAAAAGAACCAACACGCCTGTATAAAAGTGACATAACACAGGACTGACTCCCTTGTCTCAGCCTAACCTGTGCACCCACCACTAGCAACCTCCAGCCACTGCCCAAAACATCAACTATAACATTAGACGCAACAAAAGCAGGTTCTTCCATCCGCCAGGATTACCCTTCTCCCTGAGGTATCCTCCCTTAGGTATCCTCGTCTTTCCGCTGACCACCATTTCATGAGCTGGTTCACTCTAGCTTCTTTGGACGTGTTTGGAACGACTCCTATTTAGGCTCCTCCAGAGAAGCCAGAGTCCGACTCTTCTAAAAAATGGCATCCTAGAAAAATGTTTGGCAGAGCTCCTCCACAGGAGCTAGAGCCGAAGCTAAGGAGAAGCCCTCCCAAACAGGGCATTTGTCTGTGCTGTTACCAGAGATCTGTCGCTGCATGTACAACTTACAAGCTATCAGGAGCAGGTAAATTAGAACACCAACCCAAAATCTCTGATGGTCTGGTTCATACCCCTATTTCAGGTTAGACTTTCAGTCAAATAAAACGTTCTTTAGCACCCCAAAAAATTAGCAGCACTGTTGTTTTAATTGTCGTAAGTCTTAGAAAGATAATCTTTTATTCAACTTCTGCAAAAGATTGGCATTCTTTTTATTATTTTTGGCGTCCTTTTATTATCTTTTTAAAAGTTTAATCTTTTTGTTATGTTTAGATACAAGAGCTAACTGCTAGCTAGTGAAAAATTAACTAAAATTAGCTCTAGTGCGCATCCAAACATATGGACTAATAGGCTGGCCAATTTTTGGTCTTGAACTAATTATTAGCCAACTAGCTAGCTAACTTAAGCTAGGAGCAACTCCAGGTGTTCCTTGTAATTAACTTGCTAAATCAATAAATTTACGAGTAAACAAAATACTCCCCTCGTTCCAAATTAAATGCATATCCCAATTAGCTTAATAAACTTAGGAATTAGTTCTACCTCATCAAATAGTACTGTTCTCCTACGCGGGGTTGGGAGCAGCGACCATCGTGATCGTCCTCGTGGCGGCGGTGTGGTCACCGGTGCGCGCAGTTGGTGGTGGAGTTGGAGACCCCGACGGCGACGGCAGTGGGCACACCCGCCGATACGATAGGGGAAGACGTCGGCAGAAAAGCGTACTCCGATTGACCAGTCTAGGCAAACCACGGCCCCAGAAAAAAAGAGGCGCCTTTCCTTTTCTTTCTCCTCCCACCCACCCGGATCCTCCGCGCGTGCCGCCAGGCCCGCCGCGATGGCCGCACTCCGCCTCCCCGCCCCGCCGGCGGCGAGGTGGTCCCACCTTCCTTCCGCCTCCGCCGCCGCGCGTCGGGTCTCGCCCCCTCGCCATCTCGCGGCGCGGCGGGCCAAGGGGGAGGACACGCCGGAGCCGCCGGTGAGGACGCTGCTGATCAACAACTACGACAGCTACACCTACAACATATTCCAGGAGCTGTCGGTCGTCAACGGCGGTGAGTATGAAAGCAGCTCTCCCTTCTCCGCGCCTGCCGCTGCGTCGCGTGAGCGGCGGCGGCGTGCTCATTGCGCCTTCTTGGGCGGGCGGTGGAACTGACGGAAGCTCGTGACACCTCCGCAGTGCCGCCCGTGGTCGTGCGCAACGACGAGTGGACGTGGAGGGACGTCTTCAACCGGGTGTACAAGGACCGGGCCTTCGACAACATCGTCATCTCGCCTGGCCCTGGATCTCCGGCTTGCCCCGCCGACATAGGTGTGTGGGCAAACTTCGTCTTCAGCTTTGCCCTGTTCTACTTCAACTTACTTATCTGGTGCATGTTTTTGTTTTCAGGTGTATGTCTGCGCATACTTTTGGACTGTGGAGATATACCCATCTTGGGTGTCTGCCTTGGCCACCAGGTGATATTCAAATCCACCTTTCTTTTTCAGTGTATCAACAACAACAACAAAGCCTTTAAGTCCCAAACAAGTTGGGGTAGGCTAGAGTTGAAACCCCGCAGAAGCAAGGTCCTTGTGAATTTATTTTGGATCACAAAGCAATTTGCATGGATCACGTAGCTGTAACTACAGAAATGCCGTTGCTGTTGTTGATGTTGTCTACTTGTCTTTGACCATTGCAGGCCCTGGGATTTGTACATGGTGCTAAGATTGTTCATGCTCCAGAAGCTATACACGGGCGACTCAGGCAAGGCCTTGAATTCATGTTAATAAAATTCGCTAGCACTGCTGCTGAATTCTTGCTATTCTTACAGTTTATGCATGATTTAACACTCCTCTTTATTGTTTCAGTGAAATTGAGCATGATGGATGCTACCTCTTTAATTGTGTCCCATCAGGTAGAAACTCTGGCTTCAAGGTTAGTGTACCACTTGTCCCATCCCTTGCCATTTGTGTTTCATTTCAGTCTTCAGTTTCCATATGAACTTCTAAATGCTTTGAACTTGCTTGTGCTGTTTTCAGGTAGTGAGGTATCATTCACTTGTAATAGAATCTGGTTCTCTACCTGATGATCTTACATCAATAGCGTGGACTGCTTCTCCAAATTTGCATTCTTACCTTGAAAGTGGCCGAAGTAATGTCAGCACCTTCTTGGGATCATTGGACAACAACTTTATGACAAACCCTCTAGAGTACAGTTACAATGATGGGGAACTATCCAGCATAGGACATACTAGTGAGTCAGATGATGGCAGAGTTATCATGGGCATCAGGCACTCTAGCAGGCCTCATTATGGAGTGCAGGTATCCTAGTTTGTCCTGTGCGGTGATTTCTCTATGTTGTAGTAAGCTGTTCTTACACATGATTGCCCTTTAACCCAGTTTCATCCAGAGAGCATTGCTACTCATCACGGAAGACAGATTTTCCGAAACTTTAAGAAGATAACAGGAGATTTTAGATTGTGCTCATCATGGCTTCAGGAAAGAAAGGTTCACAGTATTGGTAAACTGGAAAAATCTCAAGTACTGTCTATGATGAAGTAGTTGACACACTATACCTTTACACATCATTTTAGCAGAGACTCCTGTTATTCTGCAGGTCAATTCTGCAAGCCATCGTGATTCTATCCCTAAGGACTTGTGTACTGAAAGAATGGAACTTTCGGAGCCTGTACTTGGAAAGAGAGGCATTGGGAAAAAGTGTTTACGATTACGATGGAAGAAGATTGAAAATTTCCTTTGTCCCACAGTTGGCTCTGAAGACATATTTGGGCTGCTTTTTGGCCATCAAAGCGGTGAAGACACGTTTTGGTTGGATAGCTCATCAGTCGACCAGGTATGCAGTCAGCTTACTCTTAACTAATTTACCAAAATCGAATGAAAAAAAAAGAGGATACTATTTTCTCTTCAACTCATGATCTACATGAATTGAGCTGCAATCACTGTCTCGTTGAGTGATAAAGCTGGAAATTTGCTGAAACTTATTTGGATTGTGACTTCTTTTCTTTCCTCATGGAGATAGTGAATTCACTTTTGTGTGTTACATGATCTTTTCTGTCTTTGTTGTGATCAATTTCTGCTTGCAGAATAGGGCACGTTTTTCATTCATGGGTGGCAAAGGTGGGTCCCTGTGGAAGCAAATGACATTCCACCTATCTGGTCAAAGGTAAGAAGGAATCATGCTTTAGTGCATTATAAGCATTATGTCTGCCAGCATGTGGTAGAGACCTTCATGTTATTCTGCATATCACAAATTCTTTTCCAGAGCCAATTGTGGAGGAACGCTTATTACCCAAGATGCTTATGGATATACTGCGAAAAACTTCATCAAAGAGGGCTTCTTGGAGTTCCTTAACAGGGTATATGTTTAAAGATTGATGCTTCTGATAACTATTTTAATCTTATTAATTTTGTGTGATCATAACCTGGTCACCATTTGCCACTATCTATGTCTTGTAGTCTCAGTCTGAATAATTTACTCAAGCAGAAATGACTTCGTGTTCATTAATAGGTACAAGGAGCCCAACTGTTTTGGTATTTTTTTTAATGTACAATAGCCCAACTGTTTTGTTTAAATTAAATAATTAAATGGGGATTAGAGGGTTTAACATAGATCACCTGCCACTATAGGAACTTTCTCAGCTCCTGCAGTAGAGAGGAACAAAATAATTGTGTTACTAGGTTATGTAGTCAATTCGTAGCAAGCCAGGGTTTTTTACTGGTTTTAGCCATGTCAAAAACAAAATGTGCTGGTCTGAGGTATCTCAGCATGAAGTATTTGTGGTTACCGACATACTCCCTCCATGTCCCTAAAGAAAGTTGTTTTGGACATCGACACGGTCTCCAAAAACAACTTTGACTGCTACTTTTTGCTATAAAATATTTATAAAATATAGTTAATCTATACTTTTATTTATAAAACTACATTTCGAGATGAATCTACTTACATCACTTTATATTTTCAAACTCAAACCAAAAGAATTTATTTGTAGTCAAAGTTTAAAATGTTTGACTTAAGACAATCTCAAAACGACTTTCTTTAGGAACATGGAGGGAGTACTATTTGTATTCTGCATGTTAACACGATCATCCATACCGTAGGTTTATGAGTAAAGTGTAATATGCAGTAGATTGTGCCATGCATTTGTCTGAGTTTTGATTCTCACTGTTTCACACTTTGCAGGAGATCGAGTCCATTCAATACAATGAGAAGGATTACGAAGGACTGCCCTTTGAATTCTATGGTGGCTTCGTTGGATATCTAGGGTATGTTAATTTCTTGTCATGAATCGACGCTTTTTTTAACTCAAATTATACACTTCTGGCATTCGATATTATGCATCGATTTTGCCTGCACTTGATTAGTTTCCTGCTACAAACAGATCTTCCATGCTACAAACTATTGTTTTCTATCTTTGACTTCCCCATTCCTGTAATCATCTCGTGCGGACAATGGATCCTTCTGTACATCATTTAATTCTCTTTGTATTATCTATTTCGTTTGGGTTTCTTTAAGATCCTTTTGAACCTCAGTTTTCATTGTATACCAGGTATGGTCTTAAAGTGGAGTGCGATGCATCATCTAACAAGGCCAAATCAAGTACTCCTGATGCATGCTTCGTCTTTGCTGATAACACTGTGGTGGTTGATCACAGTAATGGTGATGTGTATATTTTGTCACTGCATGATGAATTTTATTCTAGTAATGGAGATGGGATATGCAAAAATTCAACACATACTTCATGGTTAGTTGAGACTGAGAAGAAGCTTCTCAGGTTGGGTGGTATGTCCCCAGGATCACCAATTAATGGGAAGGCATATGCTAGATCATCCAGTGTGCATAAGCAGAGTTTTGTTGTAGAGAAATCAAAGGATCAGTATATTAGAGATGTTCAGAGTTGCTTGGACTATATCAGGGATGGAGAAAGCTATGAGTTGTGCTTAACTACTCAGATGAAGAGAAGAGTAGACTATATAAATGCGCTCCAACTCTACCTTAAACTGAGAAAACAAAATCCAGCACCTTATGCAGCTTGGCTTAACTTCTCCTCAGAAAACTTAAGCATATGTTGCTCTTCTCCAGAAAGGTTTCTATGACTAGACCGAGGCGGAGTTCTAGAAGCAAAACCAATCAAAGGTACTATAGCACGTGGCAGAACACCAGAGGAAGATGAACGCTTACGTTTGCAGTTGAAATACAGGCAAGTACACTATATTGTCTTCTAGATATATCTTGGCTCTACCACTCTTTATTCAGGAAATATTGAGCTTGGGATGCTGTTTCTTTGCTTTCCCTCATTTATTTTATTTGCTATTCTTAGTATTTTAAATTAAGTTTCTTCACAAATGGTCTTGTGGAAGAAGTTGGTAAAAATAATTTGATAAGTGTGTTAAGGAATCAAAAAATTTATATTGACATTCATGTTTAGGCTTGGTTCAATAGTCTGTTCTGCTGAAGCTAATTCAGTTTTCAGTTGACAGATCTATGACAGAAAATTGCATGGTTGTATAACATTTACTGCAAGCACAAGAGACCTAGTTTTGTTGTGTATCATTGGAGGTTTCTACAGTAACAACTATTTCTTATCAGTATCTTCCTTTCCTGCCAGTTCAGTTTCAATGTTATCTAGATGTTCGAATGCTAACCCTGTAGGATTATGGATTTGTTTATCACAGTGCTCATGCTACTACTATATTTTTCTTTTTGCATGTGCTCAACTTCAACAGTGAAAAAGATCAGGCTGAGAACTTGATGATTGTTGACCTCCTAAGAAATGATCTTGGCAAGGTTTGTGAACCAGGGGAGTGTGCATGTCCCTCGTCTCATGGATGTAGAATCATATAAAACTGTCCACACCATGGTGAGTACCGTCCGTGGGACAAAGAAGTCGAATCTAAGCCCTGTTGATTGTGTGAAAGCGGCCTTTCCAGGTGGTTCAATGACTGGGGCCCCAAAAGTTAGATCAATGGAGATCCTTGATTCACTTGAAACTAGTCCGAGAGGTGTGTACTCAGGATCGATTGGGTTCTTTTCAGCACAACCACACATTTGATCTGAACATTGTGATTCGAACGGTTATCCTGCATGATGGAGAAGCCTCAGTAGGGGCAGGTGGGGCGATTGTAGCACTGTCAAACCCAGAAGCAGAATACAATGAAATGTTGCTTAAAGCAAAAGCACCAACAAAGGTGGTTGAGGATTTCATTCAAACAATTTACAGCTCAGATCGATCCGATTCGATGCAGACAACCATAAGCTAGATCATATAGGCAAGCAAAGGTTCACTGTTTATGGAAACACAAAAGGCATTACAATGGACTTCAGCAAACACCATGTATCTGAGAAATTTGACCTCAGCAATTGGTGCGTGCTAATGAACATTGGCAGTAGGGTTAGGGCATATCTTCTTCGCAAAGGCATGAACATTCCAATTCCTTTGCCAAAAGGAAATAAAAGAGATGTGAAGAGGATGTTGAAGTCAGTTCGGATTCATGGTGGCATATACAGTTTGGTGACATGGTGTCAACTTATAGACTAATGAAGCTACAAAAGGAAACCATACCAGCTTATGTATACCTCAAATCGATCATCCACAGTTTCCCCCCCTGAAGAATGCATACATGTTTTTTTGTTAATGCATTTCCCCTTTCTGGGGAGTTGCATTCTGTAACTAAATCTACAAAATCAACAGTCAATGTATGTGGCAGAAATGAAAGAAATTGATATTGTTGTGTTGTACGATTGTACCAATCAACTATATCTGGAATATTCTTTGACGTTATTATAAATGTATTCTTGTTAGGGGCGAACTTCACGTTTCATCCGCCTTTCCGAGTGGAGCTTTCCAGCTTCTGAAACCCCATTGTACTGAATATTCTATTGTCAGGGATTTCTGTTAAGGAGTCTGAGCTTTGGCTCAATCTGTTTGTTCTTGTTGCTTGTGGCAGTGACGTTCATGAGTCCTGAGATGCAACTTTTTGTTTAGTTTTGTGGATCTTCTTGGATTTATTGCTAGTGAACCAAAAAATGTTTTTCATGTCCAGAGGCAGCACTCGGTTGGCATATTAGAGTGAGCAGATGACCATTTGGGGCTTGCCGAGCGGCGGCGGCAACCAGCGAAGAACACGTCAAAAAGATGGCGTCTTCCAGCCGCGGCCGGTCGCCGGCCGGCAGGGACCCCGTCGTTTGATCTGTTTGATTCAGATTCGGGTGCATGGTTGATCGAACAGCTGCGCACGTCGCGCCATTTCTGAGTTCGTAGTTGGAATTTAAATAAGAAGGATCTGACCACGCGCGAGCCACGACGCTCGGCGACGGCGACGGCGACGACTTAGCGCGCGCGTGAGCCGTGAGGCACCGGCAGGGAGAGAAGCGAGCGAGGCGAGGCAGACGGCCGGCGCGCCCGCCGCCACCGCCGCCGATGGGTTCAGTGTCGGTGCAGAAGCGGTGGCGGAAGGCGTGCGGCGCCATCAAGGACTCCGCCACCGTGGGGATCGCCAAGGTGAACAGCGGCGGCGGACGCGAGCGCAAGGACCTCGACGTCGCCGTGGTCAAGGCCACCACCCACGTCGAGCGACCGCCCAAGGAGCGTCACGTCGCCGGTGAGACTACTTGTCCCCTCGCTCTCTTCTCTCCTGCGATCGACGGCTCCAGTGAAAATCTAACTGGTCGGCTGTCGCTGCAGCGATCTTCGCCGCCACGTCCTCCTCCCGCCCGCTCACCGACGTCTCCTACTGCGTCCATGCGCTCGCCAAGCGCCTCTCCAAGACGCGTAACTGGGTGGTACGTACGCCATTGCCAGCCATTGTTTCTTCCCCGATCGATCTGATGCACAAGGAAAATGGTAAAATGCTTTATGAAAAAAAACTGGGCAGGTCGCTCTGAAGACGCTGATCGTGATCCACAGGACGCTGCGCGAAGGCGACGCGGCGTTCAGGGAGGAGCTGCTCGGCTACCGGCGCAACGGCCACGCCCTGCGGATGTCCAACTTCAAGGACGACTCCAGCCCACAAGGTTACATTGCATCTCCATTCCAACCTGAATGCATTTCTGCTTGCTTCTTGACCTGAACCTGACTCTCGTCTGCACTGTCTCTTGCAGCATGGGACTGCTCTGCGTGGGTGCGCACGTACGCGCTGTATCTCGAGGAGCGGCTTGAGTGCTTCAGAGTCCTCAGATACGACATCGAGTCCGAGCGACTGAGACCTGCAGAGGGAGACCCCAGGGTTTGTGACTTTGTGCAATTGCAACTGGTTTCAGAGTTTCAGTGACACAGTTTCTTCTTTCTTACTAGCATATGCTTGACTGCTTAACTTTCAGGGGCAGAGCAGAACAAGGACCTTAGGCCAGGACGATCTCTTGGAGCAGCTTCCTGCACTGCAGCAGCTGCTCTTCCGGCTTGTCAGCTGTCAGGTAGAAGAGCACACAGGCACACAGCTAGGAGTACCTTCTGTGTCAATGTCAAGTACTGTTCCTGACTAAACCAGACTAATCTTGCAAAATGCTGCATTGGTGGTTCTTGCAGCCTGAAGGGGCAGCTTTGGAAACTACCTCATACAGTATGCCTTGGCTCTGGTATGTCCGTATGTATGTGTAACCTCAGTGCTGATTAGCATTGTTTGTTAGCATCATTGATCGAGATGACGACACATGAACTGCTCAGGTGTTGAAGGAAAGCTTCAAGGTCTACTGTGCACTCAATGACGGGATCATTAACCTTGTGGATTTGGTACTTTGATGAACTTCCTCTCCTATGAGATGGCAGTGTACATCTTGGTTTTTTTTAATAAAAGTGTACATCTTGGTTTTTGTGACGGTTTTGGATTCTGATGTTTTTGCAGTTCTTTGATATGACAAAACTTGATGCTATCAAAGCTCTGGACATCTATAGAAGGACAGGAAATCTGGTGTGTATAACTGCAGCATGATGACTTGATACCATTCTGTGGAATTTTTACAGCTGTCTATGTGAGCTAATGATCATCAGAATATAACAGGCGAAGTCTCTTTCTGATTTCTACGAGCTCTGCAGAGGTCTGGAACTGGCCAGAAGCTTCCAGTTTCCAATTCTGAGAGAGGTCCTTGCACCACCAAACAGACTCCCCAATCTTGTTCCACCACGGTCCATCTATTAAAGTTCTTATTACAGTAGGGAGTTCTGAACTCTGATGCCAAACACTTCCTTTTCCTGAATGATCTTCAGCCACCACCATCATTTCTTGGAACAATGGAGGAGTACATCAGAGAAGACCCTAGAACTGCACCTCTTCCAAATGAGACCATAGTGAGTTAATTCATTTTATTTTCCTTTGTGTCATTCAGCTAATCTAAAATATATACATATTCAGTCAGCCTATTTTCTGCCGTCAAACTCTAAATCTCCTGTACTCAACAGGAGTACCAGCAGCTAGATTTCGTAATTCGTTACGAAAAAGAACAAACCCCTGAACTGACGTTCGAGGCGTTTGAAGAACCTGTTGCAGAGGAAGCTCCTCCTGAGCATGAAGAACCTGCTCAGTTTGCAGATGATGACAGCGACGATGAGCCTGAAACTCCGACTGCTACTGCCGATTTGCTGGTAACTCTTGTTAGCGCATAATACTTCAGCACCTATTTATTTGCAAACTACTCCCTCCGTTCCAAATTATAAGTCGCTTTGACTTTTTTTGGTTCATCCACTCTGTTATGTAAAGCGACTTATAATTTGGAATGGAGGGAGTAACAATAATATTGGTGACCATATCCGTTGTGTCGGTGATAATCAGGGCCTGCATGAAGTAAACCCTGCTGCTGCTGCACTTGAAGAGAGCAATGCACTGGCTCTTGCCATAGTACCACCAGGCAAGCTTCAAGCACCATTTTCCGCACCTGATTGCTGTCTCATGAATTCAACAGCCAATAGCATGACATCAAATTCACGCAACATTGTGTTCATCTCCAATGTGCAGGTGGTTCCAGCAACGCGTCTGCAATCGGTTTGAGTGAGATAACAGGATCGTCAGGCTGGGAGCTAGCTCTGGTCACAGCCCAGCCCAGCAGCAGCAACCAGCTGGCAGAGAGCAAGCTGGTAAAGAACATTGCAGCATCCCCTCTCTTCTTTCTTGCCAGCATCCCCTCCCTTCTCCGCATTCACATTGGCGATTCTTGTAGGCTGGGGGCTTCGACAGGCTTCTGCTGGATAGCTTGTACGAGGACGGCGCAAGGAGGCAGCAGCAGGCAACCATGAATGCCGCCTATGGAAATGGGCACGCCTCTGATCAGCAGAACGATCCGTTCGCGATGTCCAACGGCGTGGCGCCGCCGACCGGCGTGCAGATGTCGATGATAGCGCGGCAGCAGCAAGCCATGTTTGGGATGCCGCAGCAGTTACAGTTTCAGCCTCAGTATGGCGCCGCCGCTGTGTCTCAGTTCAACCCTTTCGGCGACGCCTACTCCGTTGCACTGTCATCCCAGGGTGCCCCTCTGCATGGGAGCGGCGGCAGCTTGATCTGATGATTTGAATTGATCCAGTTCAGCTTGCGTGGACGACGGCGTCTCCTCACAGCTGATGGAGATGGACTGTATGCTGATTAGAGCTACATATATATATGAACTGCATTCCTTTGCTTCCTTTTATTTCGTCTATAGTTAACTCACAGAGACACAGACTGAAACTGAAAGACTCTCGGTGATTAAAATGGATATGCATGTTGGTCTGAGAACGCTGATCGAAATGGATGTACAATGTAGTTGAGACAAGAAACCCAACAGAAATCCGACCGTCATGGCATAGACGAATATACACCACGTGGCAAGCCAATGTATTTCGTTGTGACAAGGAGGTAGTAGTATATCATGGTGTGATCCTGGGTCTCCGACACAAACAGCATGCGTCACTGTGGAAAAAATCTGAAGGATCCAATCAGAAACAAGACAAGTCAATACGGGCGGCTAAGATTCAGGTTCCGTCGTGTTTAGCTGGCTGGGCTGTCCATGGGCTCATCGCTGTTGCCGGGCCATGCCTAAACCGGACCGGTTTAAGACCCGGAGCGTACGAGGTGTCCTTTTTGCCGTTTCAATCAGACTCGCAACAGCGTCTTAGTTCGAAAATCGCGTGCACTGTGCAACAGCCAAAGCCGCAGCCTGTCGAATACTGTCTGTTTGATCTCCACCAATAGGCCGGTTTATTAAGCCCTTATGTCTGCTCTCTGATTGGGGAGCCCAATCTTAATTCAGTTGGTGGGCCTCTGTCGCACAGCACACATAAAAGGAAGGTGGAGATGAGGACTCGAGCTACGAGGTTCGCCGTGAGTCGCCACACCCACCTACAGTAACCCTAAACCAATCTAAAGACCGTGCTGTCAGCGACGGGATGTGCCCCAACCACCGCCGTCGCACCTATGCAGGGCCACCACCGGACCACGGCAGTACCACTACGGACTCCACCGAGCCGGAGCTGCTGCGGCAATGGCGTCTACCCGCTGTGGTGCATCTACGGAGAAGACAAGGATGAGGTCTTCCCTGGATCTACGGGTTACACACACAGAGGTACTAATCATCGATCCTAACACTATCCTGATGGGTGCCTCCTTAATGCTAAACATAAAAGTGGGAGCTCCTATACGTGGCAAAGTGTGTTAGCTGGCCTGGAGTGCTTTAAGAAAAGTTATATATAGAGAGCGGGCGATGGAACACAGATTAATATTTGGGATGGCAATTGGATCATAGTAGTGGATCTGAAAGTCCGGACCCCTAGAGGGCATATTTTAGTGAAGATGGTTGATGATCTAATAAACCCATTAATTGGGATTTGAGATGAAGATATGCTGAGATTCCTCTTTTTGCCGATAGATGTTTCAGAGAATTCTCCAGATACCGTTGATCCAAGGCAGAGAAGATTTGGTGGCTTGGCATTTCAACAGGTCTAGTCTTTTCTCAGTCAGGTCAGCATATCATTGCTAGTGGACAACTAAATTTGAAACTGTGATGGGTGATGGCTCTCTGGACAGTCAGGTATGGGGTAGGCTTTGGAAATTATCAATCCCAGGTAAGATAAAGATTTGTGGCTGGCGAGCAATTCAAGGACTGATCCAATGTCAGGGCATTCTTTATAATCACATTGGGGATGATCCTCAATGCCCTATGTGCTCTTTAGGACAGGAAGATTTGAAGCACTTAATGTTCACCTGTATTCGTTCAAAAGCTGTTTGGAATGCTTTGGGAGTTTGGGATCATATTGAAAATCTATTTCAAGTTGATCGATCACGGGAAAAGATGATAGAAGAAGCAATCCTACGGGGGTGGACAGGTTGTTGTGCTCAACAATATTGGCCTTGCTGAACTAATCTTGACGGGTGGGTGGTACATCTGGTGGGAAAGGCGCCATCTAGTCCATGGTGAAGCAATCCAGAATCCTCATCGGTCGGCAATGTCTATAGCTACGTTGACAACTAATTACATGATGTCCTCGAAGATAACAATCAGAGTGCGGCATGGATGGAAGAAACCCCTCGAGGGTAAGTTAATGGTAAATGTTGATGTTGATGCTGCTTTCCATTCAATAAAAGTTTGCCGTTTGGCTCTTAAAAAACCAAAGCCGCAGGCGAAGTGTGGCAGGCGCTCCGGTACGCATGAATGCACAATGTAGAGCAGCACTGCTGCTGGTCGCCAATCAGACACACCGCCGCCGGAGAAGCCACGACGCGACCACACCAGCCGCCCAGACTGAGCAGCATGCATTTGTGTGCGGTTGCCGGCGTCGATCCACCCGTTAGAGGGGGTGTTTAATTTGGGGTCTCACTTCGTATGTTATATGGGGACGTTGTACGTGGTGTTCGGATACTAATAAAAAACAAATTAAAAAATTCGTTAGTAAATCGCGAGACGAATTTATTAAGCCTAATTAATTCGGTATTAGCATATGTGTACTGTAGCACTTATTGTTAAATTATGGGCTAATTAAGCTTAAAAAATTCGTCTGGCAAAATAGTCATATGCCTCGTTTAGTTGACGATTTTTTTTGGAAAACGGTACTGTAGCACTTTCGTTGTTATTTGGCAGTTATTGTTCAATCATAGTCTAATTAGGTTTAAAAGATTCGTCTCGTGAATTTCGTCTAAACTGTGTATTTAGTTTTATTTTTTATTTATATTTAATGCTTCATGCATGCGTCCAAAGATTCAATGTGACGAGAAATCTTAAAAAAAATTTGCAAAATTTTTGTAACTAAACAGCCACATAATCTGTGTAATTAGTTATTTTTTTTAAGTTTTGGAAGCATGTGTAGTGTGTAAAGTTTTAGGGCATGTTTAGTTCCGGAAAGTTGGAATTTTGGGTTACTGTAGCACTTTCGTTTTTATTTGGCAATTAGTGTTCAAACATGGACTAATTAGGCTTAAAATGTTCGTCTTGTAATTTTCCACCAAACTGTGTAATTAATTTTTTTTTGTCTACATTTAATACTTCATACACGGACCGTAAACATTCAATGTGATAGATACTGTAGCACTTTTTAAGATTTTAATGTGAAACTAAACACGCGGTTAGCTGAATGATCGAATTGCCCGGGTAACAATAGCATGTCGGTCCGGCCGATCAGGTGGCAGGCTCAGCTCAGATCAACATGACCTGACACACGCAACGTCTCTCTCAATCTCCCTACCTCCCGCATCCCTCGTGACCTGAGCCGCTGATCACAGCAGGCAGCAGGGCATCCTGCTCACGTGCACTCCACATTCTCATCAATTCAATTAAGGCTTTGTTTAATTGGGTGAAATTTAGGAATTTGATTATCGTAGTACTTTCGTTTTTATTTAGTAATTAGTGTTCAATCATGGATTAATTAGGTCTAAAATGTTCGTCTTACGATTTCCCACTAAATTGTGCAATTAGTTTTTTTTTCGTCTACATTTAATACTCTATGCACGTATTAGAAGATTCGATGTAATGGCTACTATAATATTTTTTAGAAAAACTTTTTGAACTAAACGCGGCCTAAAAAAAACTCTCCACCGTGACAAGCGCAGGGTGAGCTGGACTGGAGCCTCGTCGGCGGCGCGGCGCGGCCTGGCGGAAGCGGAGCTGCGGTTGCACGGCGCGGCCCGACACGACACTTGTCCCGAGCCAGACAGCCGGAGGGGCCCAGCGGCTAGTGCTGGATCGGCGCCGCCCGCCAGAAACCGAGGCGCTGGCGCCGCTCCTCCGCTCCGTTCCGTCTCCTGGACGCGGACTATGGGGGTTGGACCCACTGGCGTCCGGGGCCTACTGAGGCAGGGGTGAGACGCCGGGGGCCCACGGCAGCGGCTGCCCTGCCTTCGTGGGCCTGGTCTGTCAGTTCTCAGTCACGCGCGCACACGAACACGAGAGGAGAGAGCACCGCGAGCCGATTCTCAGCCGCAGAGAGACCTGCGCCACCTGCTACCGAAGAAGACCGGGTCCATGAGACGAAACCCCAATGACAGGTGGGACCAAAACTAGCGAATCCACCAAGGCCTGGTGCACGCAGCACGAACCGTTAATTGCTCCCCGCGTGCCCAACTGCCCATGCCCCCATGCGGCCATGCCCGGAGGACGCGTCCCCGTCGATTTTATATTATTAAAAAAATTCCTCCGTACGACGAATTCACCACGCCTGTCCCACTGACACCACGGGCCAGCCTACCTACGTGGCAAGAGAGGGAGCAGCGCGTGGGACCAAGAAAAAAAAAAGAGGAAACATTTGAGATGCTTGCCTTGCCTCTCCCTCCATTAAAGACGAGGGAGGCAGCCAAAAGGCGACGCAGCATTAGCCAAGCACGCAGCTTTGCCTCCCTTCCCTTCCACTCCCCGCCTCCAGTCCTCACTGCCCGCGGCCACTCCACTCCACTCCCCCGCTCTCCAAACCCTAACCCCCCGAGCGGAGCGATCTCTTCGTTTCGCCAGTGCCGCGCCGCGCCGCGCCCGGGCATGCCGCCGCCATTCGGTGGCGCGGTTGAGGCCCACTGATCCGTCCGCCGGGGAGCCGCCGCCGTTCCTCCCTCGAGTATCCGCTGGGGTGGAGTGGAGATCCCGCCGGAAGCGGAGGGACTTACCACCTCTGCTGTCGCAAGTAAGTGAGCCCCGGTTGCTTTGGTTGCATTGATTACCGCAAGAGTTCTTCAGTTTAAGTATTTCCTTGTCGGAGACGAGGGAAAAAAGAAGAAAGATTCCGTTTTGTTTTTGCCCTTCGGGAAACTACTCAATCGAAATGCTTCTTTCTCTTTATTCCCCAACTACTAAAAGTGACAACATTTTACTACCTCATGTCCTCATCATCTAAAGATCAATCTCTTCTCATGACGGGTGGGAAACGCGTGCGTATGCAATGCATCCAAGGCGGTAGCCGTTCTCAATCGATCACTACTCGCATCATTTAATCTGCGCACATTTATTACCACTGGCCACCCTGATCTAAGAGGTTCCGTAAATGCGCTCCCCATCTCCATAGGGAGCCCCGGGAGGTGGGCATGCTCTGGCACCGCGGGCACGTACTGGCT